CGAGATCTATCAACTGAAACCACAAATGTGCGGTTGGCTCCTGTTGGTGGCTCCGTGCATTTGTATTTCTATCTTTTGGTAACCAAGTGTTGCCCATCCTTACACTTGGCTGCACCATACTGATGATGGGTCAAAAGCCCGAAACACGTGTCTATGGTTTGCCACTTCCTTGAGTGGCAAACCATAGAGGAGGAATGAGGTGTAAAGGCTTGTGTTTTCAAATAGTTCATCTTGTGAAAAGAAGGCTGAAAATTTGAAGGGCCGCAACTTTGTAAGTAAGGAAGAGCACCGCTTTTTCCTTTCGGATTCGTTATCTACGCATCAAAATTGGTGAGTACACTCAAAATTTTTTTCAAAATCGTCGGGTTCCCTCAACACGAATATTTACCTTATTTCCCAGATTCTCGTTGACAGTATCTGAATGCTTTCCAGTAAACACAAATATCGAAATTTACAGTTGAAAACGATAACAGTGAGTCTTTCTCGTGGAGAAATAAGGACTCTGATCTTTTGTAGCAGACAAAGTTGCACCTTGCTAACCTTATTATTAGATATTTTTTCAGAACTGAAAAGTTTCAGCAAAAATTAAAACGAAGATTCGATTTTATTCGCTATCGAAGTTTATAATATCTTGAAGAATATCAGTAGTAAATAGTCCCGTTCAACATTCAAATAGTACGATTCATACANTTCAGCCTCAAAATAGGCCTCAGTTTCGACAATTACCTGTTCGTCGGCGCTGAATTTCTTTCCAGTAGCATTCTCTCGAGGTCTGAAAAAAGTCAATGGGGGCCAGATCTGGAAAATACGGCGGATACATGCAGTTCATGCAGTTCCGCCATCATTTCCATTTATTTGTGACACGATGAAACAGCAGTTTCTTTTTCTTCAAATGAGAACGTTTTTCGCGATTTCGTCCTTCAAACGCTCTAATAATGCTATGTGATAGTCGCTGTTGTAGTTTTACCCTCTGCAAGAAAGTCGATGAATATTATACCAGGCGCATCTCAAAATACTCATACCATGACCTTTTGGAGCCGGTTCACCACGTACAGTCCACTCAGATGAAGATCGTTTTAATTCTGCTGTAAAGTGATGAAGATATGTTTCGTCCATTCAGTGACATGGTGGAGGTACTCTTCTATTCGTACGAACTGAAACTTAAGCTCTCATTTCTGCCATGTCATTTATAGTGCAGCTTTTCCGCGCACTTTCTGTAATGGCGGATTCTCGCGTACTTCCCCTGCGATTTGGGTGACTTGGTTCCGTTGTGGCGCCTTTCAAAGCTGTGAGCCAGATCTTTGGTAGATATGTTCTCTCTTCGTTCCAGTTGAAATTCTCTTGGTGTTTATGTTATTCTATGGCTTCTAAATACATTCTTGTTGAATAATGATTTGAAGTTGCTATCCCCTCGGTATGTTCGAAAATGAAATGAAATGAAATGTTTCCCATCGGACAATGCATGTTCAGACTTCTTGGTCTGTCCTAATTAGCAACCCCACGTGTTCTCCACCAGGCGGGTACCAATGCTCCTTTTAGTCTGCCGATATAAACTTTACCACAGTTACAAAAAATCCCTTAAACTTCCGCTGATCTGAGTGGATCTCTGCTGTCTTTTGCTGATACTCCGATCTTTGTTGGTTTGAAGACGTTGTTTATTGTCTTCTTCTTTCAAATTTTCTCGAAATCATCCGATTAGCGCGGATGATGTCTTTTCTGTCGTAGCTAGGCTGTTGATGATGGTTCGTATCTGTTTTGGATGATGGTTGGATCCACCCATTATGAACCGAGCTTTCGCAGTTTGAGGTATTTCAAAATTATTTTGTGGACATTTTTGAATGTTTTCGTTGGTAACAGGATCTTTGGGGTGTCCACTGCCTGCATCAACCTCGGTGCTCATGTAACCTCGTTTGAACTTAGCAAACTTCTCAACGGTTGATTTTCTTGGTGCAAAGTCCGAATGATATTCATCATTCAGACTTGACTTCAACAGTATTTTTCCGCCAAAAAGCAATGCTTTATCATACGAAATTCCGTTTTATCCATTTTATTCAAACTACCAAAAGTTACTTCACTCAAAAATTTTCTCTCCCACAAACCAATAGTCAGACAGCTGTGGAATTTGTACCCGTGTCTATTGAAAGTTGGGGTTGAATAAGAATCTTATGGATTTGATACCAGTAGTGCCATCTGTGTGTTAGCCTAATAACTTCTCAGTCTATCTACTATGTATAAGGAAATGAATATTTCTAAATGGAACTCAAAAAATTCATCCTTTTCAACGTACCCACACAATAGGTTCTGGTGATAGACTGCTGAAAAACACCTACTTTCCCGGCTAATACCACGATGGACATGGAATTATATATTTGAAACCGGCTGTAGCTGATATACTTGATTGATTTTAGCGTGGTTCTGTTGTTGGATGAACAAAAAACATCTGCAAGACTAACATCTGTGAGGTATATTGCAAAAATGTCTGTGGGAAATAATTTAATGCCGATCATGGTATCAGTCGGAAAAGTAGTTATTTTTCGGCAGGCATATGCCAGAATCCAAATTGTAGGTACGTTGAAAGAGAATATTGTTCGCAGAACAATTTGCTGACTTTTGAAATATATCACAATTACTATGTCAAAAATATACAGTCCAATCAAAAAAGTTAACAGGTAATTCAATAATAGCAAAGGTTGAACAAGAGTTTCATACAGTATACTTCAATACAACACAGTTTTATTGAAAGTGATACAAATAATGAAATTATGAAACAACAACAACAAAAATTAATTGGCGGTACGGGGCGACTTCATTGATTCCAGTGGCGCATTTGCTATTTCAGCTGCAGGAAAACCCTGAAAAACCTGCATCTAAATATCTTGATCTGCCAATGTCCTCTCTTTCATAGAATGATATGTGGGGTGTCTTCAGAGGATCCAATAACTTCAAGATATCACCACAATATTTAGTGATATGACTAGTCTGTTACGTCTCTGACCAATGCGTAATAATGTCCATAATCAACGCCAGAACCACTGTTAACAATGACTGCATGAAGATTATAATAGTGGCCTGCTATATTGTAGTGTTCATCTATTTCGAACCTTCGTAAGAGTTTGGGGCTTCCGTCAGAGGTTGAGTCATGTTTGAAGATCACCAGTGACTGGTGCCTCAGATAAACATGTTGTCTTATAATAGTCAGTTAGTTTGACGCATGCAGCTGCAGTTTCGTAAGAATGTATCATCTTTCCCACCAACCGATTTCCTAGAGTCTTTGAAGTCCACTAGATACTCGTTCGGGCAACAAG